AGAGCTTGCAAAAATGTATACCACCATGCTTGCACTGTTAGCAGGTCAGTTTGAATTTCCTGGTCTATTTTTATGTAATCTAATGTAGCATTTATCAAAATGACCTGAAATGTGAAGTTGTTCTTCATATATGTTTCTGAAGAATGCAGGTAAGAAGGTCACTGAAATATTTGGCAGTAGAGCTAAGTAGACAAAAATGCACTCTATTAACAAGGAACTGTTCATATTTTTCTATTCATGTATTTCTGTTTAAAATATGTATGTAATGATTTACCTCTTAAAGGACATGCGTCTGCAGCTCAAAATATAGACATATATGGACATATATGGAGTTGGACTCGATGATCCTTAATGGGTTCCTTCCAACTCGAGATACTCTGTGATTCTATGATACCAGGCATAAATTTGAAAATCAATTAAGTTTCACCTTGGGGCAATAAGTATTGGCAAAGTACTACACTTTTTCTCTATGGGAGAGTAACTTGCACCAAAGCTATGGTAATGTGTGCAGTTCTGACTGATTCCAGAGTGAGCATCTTTCTAGAGGAGAAGTCTTCTAAAACCAGATGTTTTTGAGAAAGCAAGTGAAAAGGGGAAGGGATGAGAAACTGCAAATTTTTTTAGGATCCTAGAAAACCCCGTGGTAGAAGATAGCTGGCAGTGAGCATTTCTGTTAGCAGAGGGGGCAGACTCTAGAGGTAGGTGGGAACAAGGGCGTGCAGTTACGTACGCTTACCCATATGCAAGTTTTGCACACACAGGCACCCTTCGCACCTTAGCGATGAGCAATGTGGAGATGAGCCAGGGAGGCTAAACAGGATATATAAAGTGAGAAGACTGCATGCAAGACTTTTTTCATGTGTCAGTATTTTAACTTTACGTGTTACTTGGAGGTGGAAGTTTCCAGCAGACACAAGGGGACTGTGGCTCCTCACTGGCACCAGCCACTGTGGCACGGGCCCCTGTGTTACCGGTAAAGGCACCGTTGCACAATATTCCCTGTCCAAACACGGACTATGGACATCCTTAACTAGCAAGGCATTGTATAACATTTTGACAAACAAGCTAAATGCTGTATTCTGAGAGGAATAACTATCAGGAGTCAAAGTCAAGCTTCTTGGGAGTAATGCTACTGAAAAGGAAAACCATAACTATGTGAGTAAGCCTGATCTTCCACTTTCACAGGCTAAGCAGATGGTGACCTGGTTAGTTCTTAGTCTCAGGAGGCTGCTCATCTCTCTGTGCCTTCAGCTCCTATTGTCAGCATCTTACTATTTTACTTATTCTCTATGATTTTAGCTGACTGCCACGTTTTTTAGTCCTCTTTTGAGACATTACTTAAGGATTAAGAACTGTATTTATCTAACATAAAAAAACAACTTTTGCACTTAAGCCCACTGATTTTAAATGGAAATTAAAATGTTCCAATTTCTTATTTCACATTAATAATCAGTAGGAAAATATGATCCCACCCTTGAGCGTTTGATTCCCTACAACATGGATGTACAGCCTACAGGAGGGAAGACTCGGGACGATGTACCAGGGAGACAGGCAGACCTTGACCGGCTATGTGTAGGCACCTAGTGCTATTAGAGGTGCTCTGAGGTGCTGCATTTGGCCGGCTGCCACTCCACTGGCAGCGTTCACACAGGGTTTGAGTTGTGTCTGCCATCCTTGGGGCATATTTCTCAGGTACCACAGGACACCCCCAGTGGCACTAGGCATCCAAGTCTCGATACCTCAATCAAGCTCTCAAAGGTATAGATGCTGCTGTTGGACGTCCCCACAAAGTTGTTTTCTTACTACCTGGGTAGGTTTTATCAGCAAAGCATCCTCTTATATGATTATATGAATAAGATATGTGAAGGAAACGGTACTTAGGTTTCACTGTGAAGAGGTACCCTGAAGTAAACACAAATTAACACTAGACCTTTATCACAGTGTAAAAATTAATCTAGAATAAAATTTAACCAGTCCAGTTTACACTGAAAAGTCACCTCTTTTTGGTGTCCCTTTTCTGTGACTTCATGTAAAATGTGCTAACAAACATATTGTAGCATTTGTAGTTTTGCACATAAATTGGCCAAAACCAAAAGCCATTATTCAACACGTAATAAGAAAAACCTGAATCAGTTTCAACAAGAATTTTTTTTTTTATAACAATGTCAGGATTAGATCCCGTGAGTGTATGTATATCTACATACATGCTTATGCATATATACACACACAAAGTGTACATATGATTTCTGTAGTTAGTTGGTCAGGATTTGAGAATATCTAATATGCTCTGACATGGGATATGGCATATCTAGAATAAGGCTAACAAATAGAAGCAAACTTGAATCCTATTTCTAACACTATTATTTTAGAGTTATCTTTAACTTACTGTGGCAACAAATAGCTGTTAATGCAACCAAGAAGTAATATTGCTAGCAACAGTGTATAACAGTACAGTCCTTAGAAAAATGCATACCAATTTTTTTTTTCAAAAGGCTGATGAGATGCTGCACGCAAGAAAAAAAGAAAGAAGACAGGATGACTGGTGGATGCCCTGTCTTGATCGAAGAGAGAAAGAGTAGCTCTGGATACCCCTGTAGGTGGGAGTGGCTTCCCCAGTCCTTTCTCTCATGGCCAGGAGAATCTGAAATTGATGTTTTCTGCTATTTCTCTCTTCTGGGATTGAAGGAGGCATGCGGATGGTCTGCGTAATTCATTGGTTTCACACACATGGTTTTAACGTGACAGTAAGTGGCTATTTCGGAGCAGAACCTTATTTCAGTGCACTGCTCTGATAGTGCCTGTGCTTATAAAATGATGCCGTCTTTGTTGACTGTATTTTATTTGGTGTTCCAAAGAGCAACAGAAAAAACTACATAAGCATACGCCCACCTTCAGTTGTAGAGCCCATAGACAGCATGGATTGTACTGTTTTCCAAAGCAGTTACAGTCCTAGAAATACAGCCTCCATACCTCTTGCATGAGGAAATACACCACCTCCAACATCTCACCAAGCTTTCTACTCTTCTCTTCTGCCAAAAGTGACATATTTATGAGTAGCTGTTCTTTCAACCATGGTTGAAGTCACTTTCTAAAGCCGCTGCAAAACAGGAGATTACAAATAATGGTTTATGTCAATTGTACGTCCTTAAATACTTCAGCAAAATTCAATCATTTACCTTTATGGAGTGATAGCTTTTAAGCATGGACCAATCTGCCCCAAGTCCTGTGCAGGCGCCGGAGTTCTCTCCCCTGCAGCGTTCCTTACCGTGCTCATTCCTAAATGGTTTAAACAGGTGAAGGGAGCTGAGAGACTGCAGAGGACCTGTTCTGCAAGTTGATGATGTGCAAACTGGAGTCTTCTGATCTTGGAAGCTCAGTCCTTGTCTTGTCTTGGAGTCCTCTCTCTTGACATGGGCACCAAAAGTTACGCTGCAGTTACACAGTCTGCAGAGCCAACACAAGTAAGAGGGACTGAGCTGGGTCCTGCTTTTCCCCTTGAATGCTGTCAGCAGTCAGCATCCTTACTCAGTCCTCACCAGCTGAACTGTGAGCCTCACAGCCCCAGGGAAGTCTAAGAATGGGTGTTTATTGAGAACCTGATTTGAAACCTAAGCATCCTGGATTATTACTGTTCCCAGACCTCTTAAAAGGCCAGCTACCTTTATGTCCAGCTGCCAGGAATTTCAGGGGAGCTACTAAAAATCAGAAGCTTATTTATTTACGTTTTTAAATTCAGCCAAGGCTTTTATCCTGATAACTTTCCACATCAGCTGTTCATACATGTTATCTGTGGTACAACATTCCCTTCTATAGACTCCACATCCACACCTTATGCCCTTAATCACCTTTATTCTTGCAGGTTTTTGCAGGAGAGGGAGCAGGAGAGAAAGGAAAGATACCAACTACTTTCTGTAATTTAATTAATGTCATTTGTTTTAACAGTAGGGATAATGCTACTAAGTTTTTGTTTAAGTCTGGTTCAGTCACTTTGGTTGCGTGTGAAATAACTACATGTTATAAGAAAAATCACATTTTGAAATAAAAAAAAACAGATGAGAATTATGTAATTTGTGCTAGGTGTTTTGCCTAAACAGCAAACAGAACTCTCAACTACTGCTTTGATTTCAAAATACTTCATTTGCCTTTGATTTAATTATCAATGTAAACTGATGCTTTAAAAGTAATTAGGAACAACTAGTTGCTAATTGGGTGGAAAAAAGCCCTTCTGATGACAGACTTTAGCCAGAACAGATGTTTACAAAAACTTTTTTCTGTTGTACAAAAAGAAAGTCACATTAAAGAAACATACTATGTAGTGATTCTTAAAACTGTGCTCACAGCACAATAAAAGGAGATTTGGATTAAATGGGGCGAAAAAGGCAGAATCCAGACCTGGAAATGTTTGTTTACTACTGCAGTTTTATTATCCTCAGTGATTATTCCCAGAAGTAAATGTTTATAGGCAAGTCTCTGCATCAAATTCAGCAAGCTAATTGTATTGCATTTCCTATTTACAGCCTTCTGTGAAGGACAGGGAAGAGATTAACATGATAGTGGACCTTTCTTCAAAGAATTAAATAGTGAGGTTTTGTATATAGTGGGGAGGAAACGACAGTGTTGCAAATTGCTCATATTCAGAAACTGAAATATGAGCTAGATGGCATGAACATGGGCTCACTACGAAAGAGAAACAAAGTCATTTTAATAAAATATATGCCAAAATTCCCATTTCTCTGAATTTTAAAACTAAAATGTAACATCCTCCACTCAGCAAGAATGAATTATCCCTAACCCTATTTTATAGCATTAGGGATAAGATCACTTGATTGACCAGATCATAAATGCATGCTATTTAGTAGTATGCCAAGCAATAGCACGGCATTTTTTTCTTTCCACCCATTCAGACCCACTGAACATGTGATTTATATGTTTTTCCAGATCAGGAAGTTAGAAAGCTTAAGACTGAAAAAGTGCTTTGCTGATTTTCTTGTGATGGTCTATCAGTTGTTAGTCTCCGTGTTGGAAGTTTCGTGTAAGTGCTGATGTAGCTTTGATATCTCCAGGAAAAAGGCTGCGAACACTTTGGTTCCTTCAATGTAGTTGTGTCTATGAAGAAGGAAAGAAAGAGAATGAAGCCCTGTTAGGCTGGTTTGCTCTTCAAATTAGTGGCATAGTCTGGTGAAGTTTTCAGAGTCTTCAGAGGAATTTGCAAGATTGGTCACCTGAAAAAAGGACCGAGTGCACAGAAATTCTGGAGATCCTGCAATTGGCATTCCTCTGAAGGATTCACTGAGGGAACTTTTTCCACTGTTATGTCCCCTAATTACTATCGTCTGTAGCCACAAGGGTTGAGGCTATACTGAGGGACAACAAAAAATAATTTGAGAATTATTGTAGGATTCTCCAGTTCCTCGAGGTTGGCATGACTTGACTCAGAAGCTGCACAAATGTTCAGGCAACACACTGAACGGTGTCTTACCATGGCTCCTCAAAGAATGAACACAAGTGGCAAGTTTAAGCTGATTCTGATATAATTATGCTAGTTTTGGTCCCTGTAATATAAATACACTTTTATATCCATTTATACTGAAAACCATTAAAACCCTTACTTAACCATTAGCCTGAGTATGTCCGACTGGAATACTTTGAAATTGATGCTGTGACAGAAAGGTGCCCATCTACATCATCATCTTTCAGACCAGAGACAAATTTAATTGGCAATGAAATGAAAATTGCCAGTGCGATGTATGTAAAGACTGAGTAAATGCTTCATGAAAAGTATATAGGAGTATGCATTAGACTGGGAATTTTGCTTTCTGCTTGGCACAGCAACAAGTTTGCCAGAGACAGTAGTTTGGGACTGTCCAGTGGAGAGCAAAGCTTCCCGTCTGGCAGTGCTTACGCGTGGGTACCCGGGGACTTCGATTCTCCCCCGTTCTCTTATAGCGCAAATGGACAAATAAAAGAAACCTGCTTATTTTCTCCTTCTGGGAGTGCTCCCCATCGTCGGCTGCTCCGATCGGAAACATCATCACACTTTTCTGTGTTATAGTCTGAAACATTCTGGCAACAGGAATTGTTGAACCATCCCGAATAAAATCTGGATCTTCTCCAAAAACTGAAATACATGGAAAGAATGAATTCATTAAGTGAAATAAAGGTGCTGTCCTCAGCTACCAAATATCGGCTATGTGCTCAAACACAAAGAGCTTCTGAGTAGGAATTGTTTTGAGTGCATAGCCAATTGATGTCATGAATCAGTTGCACTCTACAAACCTCTGGCTTTGTATCAGTACACGAAAGAACTAAATGAGGTCTTCTGGCTACTCCTATTAAATACACCCCAATTCAGCAAGAGGTGGAGGCCTCAATGGCTGAGTTGTTCTATCAAAATCAATAAGATGCATACGTCAATGAGATGTATGTGACTGTGGCACCGAATCAGGAAATCCCTTTTGCTCTGTGAATGAGCACAATTCCCCTGCACCTTGCAGACACAAGGACTGAAAAAAGAAGGAACGTACCTGTTTTTATTGCCCTTCTTGCTGCTTCATATAGTGGATCATTAACATCAGCGAGCCAGGGCTTCGCACCCAAAGGCACAGACACTTTCAGTCTGTTTGGACTGTTCCTCTTGGAAAAGACACCCTCCAAGTGCTCCACCACCTGTGGGGAGAACAGGCTGCAGTCGGAAGCGTTCAGCTTCTTGCAACTCAAGCTTACGCCCACATTCCCACTTCTGCTCTCAGAAACAGATAAATACTAGAAACATTCAGTTTACTACTTCGGGTGTAAATTTGTGAAGTTAGTTTACACAGTAGAGGCCAAAGAAAAGGTTTGCCTCTTACCTGTTGTTTCACAACCGACAGGTCCATGTGGGGGACCTGACGGATTGAGAATTTGCCGATGACTTTCGCTGGAATGACAGTTTTAATTCCCGGTTCATGAAAAGCTCCTTCAATCCCATGAATAGATAGAGAAGGGTAACGCCACAGGTGTAGAAGTATTTCTTCCTTCAAAAAAACAACATTGAAAATATAAGGGATGACACTGGAGCCACTCACAATTGATATAAATTGATGTGAAGAAACAACCTTTTTCCATCCTAAAATTTGAGACCTCTGTATTTTAAAGATGTTTGATCTGTAATTTAAACCCACGCTCATATCTTTTCATTTTAAAAAATACTACGTCTTTCAGTGAACATTTGTTTACCTTTAGGAATATTTGGATGAGAACAGCTTTTCATGCACAGCAAAAGTGGAGCATTATTTCAAAATATCTTGGAAGTAAATTTTTCTAGTGCAAAGAAAAACCAGAACAACTTCGAATCTGAACATCTGTTGATCTCAGAACTTCTCGCAGGAGAAACCTGTGACCACTTTAGCCAGACCCCTCCCAGATGATACCAGGGAAGAAATTCCACTAAGGAGTGTTAAATAATACAAGAGGTAAGATTATAATGTTCAGTAACAGAGTTGATCTGTTTTCCTGGAGAAGATAAGAAGGGTAAAAAAAAAAAAAAAAAGAAAATGCTTATTCTAAGGAAGAAAGGAGAAATATATAAATTATAAATTGGTCTTCATGCAGAACCCCAGGGTGCGACTCTTTTCCTTGTACTCCAGTTTTATGAGGCTAGAGCTTTATGTACACATAAAATTTGCACCACTTCATCCTCATATAGGTAAAGCATCAAAACTTATTTTGTGTAGTTACGTTATACTTCTGTATCACTGATTATTACAGTCTAGCTTAGGCTAATTCAGAGGCTTTTTCATGGAAATAAAAGCATCCATATTACAGCTTATACCAGTATAATTACGTTAGCGATAAAAAAAAGAATCACTTCTTTCCTTTCTCCCAGCTGCCACTCTTGTGCAGAGAGACTTTTCTGAGCCAGCCCTTACCTGCTGTTTTTTATTTAGGATATAATTTTTAAATGCTGGCAAAGAGAGGCTCATAGCTTTGGATGCTTTTTTGGCGTGCTCAGCAGACATCAAAATCTGAATTAAACACATAAAACCCACCCCAAAACACATCTGCCTAAAGCTGCCTCCCCATTTTTTCAGAGCTGAATACAACTTCTTTTCTACTATGTAACCCATATGCAGGGGTTTTAATGCTTATTTTCTTTGGCTGGTTAGGTGAGGGGGAGAGGATCTGCAGTGCAAGAGAAGGGAAGCGACACTGTTAGTTTTGCGTTATTCCTTTTCATTGATTATTCATATTTCGGATCACTTTCCCCAGATGCGGTAGCTTGCATTTTCAGCAGATTAATTTTATTTACCTTTTAATGCTCTGTGCTCCTTTATTTTATTTTGAGTTTGCCATTGCCTGAAAATATCTTTCAGTTTGACCTTATACATAAGTGCTACGAATAGGTGATTTAAATTCTTTCTGCTGACCATTTATACAGATTTTATGTTACCTTGGTGCCATAGAGGAATTTTTTCACGCCACTGTTATTTTTGTGTTCCTCTAGATCAAATTCAATCGATTCATACAATTTCCTCTCCTCCTCCGTCAGGGCAGCGACACTGTCATAGATTCCAGGGATCTGAATATGACCTGTGGGATCCACAAGGCTGTCTACAACGTAAGATAGAGATATCAGTACAAGCTGGACCTATTTCTTCCACTTGGCAATCACAGCACCTTTTCTCTTCTACCTAACTCTTTACCAAATGAGTAAGCCTAACAACTAACTACTAGCAACTGTTTGCATCCATCAAGTTGTGGCACCTACATTGATGTGTTTTCATATTTATTAAGAAAACCATTGAGCTGCTGTTTGTGTGTGGTGGGTGGTGGGTCAGCCCAGCTGCTGACAGAAAACATCATCCTACTGAGATACAAATCAGCATTAAAAAGTCAGGTTTCGCTCCGTGTGTATGTATTCAAGTTGCCAGCAATCCTTAAATGTTCTTGATTGACACATGACTGACATCAGCTTAATGGGCATGTCTGAGGTCCTGGCCTTACCGGGGACATTACCCTCCTTAGCTGCTGCCACCATAGCTATGCTGAGGTTTGGAAACCTGGGAATCTTGCTTCAATTAGACTTGCCTTACTCAGGTCAATTAAACATGGCACTGATCTTAGTCAGGCTGATTGCTAGCCATTGTTCCCCAGTTACTCCTGAGCAATGACGCGTGTTATTACCAAGCAGAGCTATCAAGTCCGTCAGCGGCTCATGAATGATGCCTCCAAAAGTTCCAGAGTGAAGGTCCTTGCCGCCACATTCAACCTGTACCAAAACCACTGGTTACATATAAACACTCCCTACCTTATTCTTCTGTGAGTCTTTGTTTTCCACGGCAACTGGTGGCTTCAGTTTTTTAAACAAGGCCACAAATGAATAGAAAATGATTATGTGTTTCTATTTGTAAAATGGAAAACATCATGTCAGGAACAATCTGCTTCTGGTAAAGAGAAGATAGGGCTCTCTTGTTAACCGCTAGAGAGAGAAATTCAGCTGTCTATAGTGCTTACAGGCATTTGAAAGCAAGGGTCCCTCTCCATTCCCTCCTTTGCTTCAGTAAGATTAAATACACCGTAAGTGAAACACTTGCATATTACTGTTTCTAACATCACAGAATAAATTCTTCAAGTTCTCTATCTTTTTTATTTAATGCAAAATCTTCATAACGAGGGCAAGAAAGAACCTTACTTGTTTTGCGTTAAGAAAATATATGTCCAACCTTAATTTCAGATTGCAACAAATAAGAATTTAGATGTTTCTCGAATCATACAGCTTTAGAATAGAGAGAGACATTTGGTTTATTAAATGGGTTCTTTTTCCAGACACGTTTTCATACGCAGGTTTATCATAAACTATTTGCCTGCAACAAACTTGTTTATTCTTCTCAAAACCTCATTACAGCCCACTGTCTGGTAGCAGGCAGAGATCATTTTTGATGTTTTAATAGCATCATTTTTCGTAACCAAGACTTAGAAGAATTGAGTCTTCTCCTCTGCTGAGGCTCTTTTGGTTAAGAAAAAATTTAATTCTACTTCAGGCATAAAGGTTAATGCAGATTTTTCTTTAGTTCTATAGTTCTTTAATCTTCTCTCTGAATTCCTTTTATGCTTCATCAGGAAGTTTCCAGATGAGAAATTTCTGCTCTTCATTTCACAGTAGCTCATGTTGGCTGCTAAATATACTACAGTGCACTATTATTTGCTTCTGCCAATGGTTACAAAAATTTTGTGTGGCTTTTAAACCCAGGGATCCAATTAAATTGAGTCCCTTTAGGCAGATATATTGCACTAAGCAGCATCTGCTGCAAAAAGGGCAGAGCTGCGGAAGAAATGGTTTTGGAGTGGATGAGAGAATCGGAGGGTGTAGGGACGATGCTGCAAGAGAACAAAGTTGATGTGCTGAGTGGGTGATGAGAAAAGACTGGAAGAGCAGCAAGAGAGTAATGGGATAGGAAAGGGATCAAGGAGAGAGTGTAAGTGGAGAAATGATGACTGAAGAAAAGTTAATGAAAGTAAATAAGGCTAATTGAACTGAAATGAAGGGAGAAATCTGCACAAGCAAAAAAGTATATGGAAGAAAGGTCTGCGTTTGTAAACATTAAGCTTGCTTTCAGTCTTTCTCTGCATGCAGATATAGGTGTGGTTACAGGTACATCACTGCTCTCTGGTCAGGGGCCCAGTTCAGATGAACCTGTGTCCTTTACCTCCACAAAGAAGCAGACATTTCCCCGACTCCCATATGTAAGGGCAGGCTTCTTGTTGCTGAGCCAGAGGTTGTCCGAAATCACAATATAATCAACATCAGAGAAAAAGCACTGTTTTTCTTCTTCAAGTAATTTTTCTAGCCCCACGGACCCTGCTTCTTCCATGCCTTCAATTACAAACTTGAAGTTTACTGGCATAGCCTAAATGAACGTTAGAGAAGTCTGGGTAAGGAACAAGCATTTTCAAAAATAAAAAGTCTTAAAAAAATCAAAAGCAGACTGGCTTGCAGTACATGTTGTGTTAGGAAAAGAAGGAAATAGGATATATAGCTTGTTTCAATAGAAAGGGCATTGATAAATATACATGTATAGTTTTCCAGAAAAACTTGTTGTTCTTCATGTACTTTTCATTTTTGAAGGAGAATATAACTGATATCTTCTTTTCTTGTGTTTCCAGAAAACTTGCTGGACTGTCTCATAAAATGGGATTTCTCTCAGTACTATTAAATATTCTAGTTGCTTTGGAAAGCCTGTGTAATAACAGTTGCATTTTCATGGAAAATTTCCTGCCTCATACTTCCGCCGTTAGTGCCCATGCGGGAACCACTGGCAGAAGTCCACTGCTGCGGTTTTCCCAACACGTTATCTATCGCCAGAGTTAGTCACACGGCAGTAAAAATGCTGCTGGTGATTCTACTATAATTGTCCTTTTAACACTCATGAATCCATTTGCCTGCTAGTTCATAAGGATGTATTTCCAAGGGTAATTAAGAGAACTTTTATTACGGAATAGTGCAAGTTAGAAATGCTGACACGTCCCATAGGAGAAATAAATTTGAGCTTAGTTTCCCATTCCAATTCATTTTCTCATGACAGCCTTTAAGATGTTTTATCTTTTGATTCAGTGCTTAGATTAAATGCAGGAACAAACGTGTAGAATTAAATGAACTTGTGTTATGGTTGGGTTCACCAATGGTTCATCGAACGACCACAAAACATTTAGAAACAAACTGTTCATGAATATCGTTTGATGGTCTGTGCTGTTTTCTAGGGGACGGCTTCAGACGGCAAAGATTTATTTTTGCTTGCTTGTTAAAATGCCAAAATAGCTACTAGTGATTTGAAAAACTGGAAAAGTGCAGAAAGACAGCCCCATAACCATATCCACTTACAACAGCTAATCTGTAGGCAAATAACATGTGGGTTTGCTAGCACTTAAGAGACACTGAGGTCAATTTGGTACTATTGATGCAAGAAAAACATCAGCTTTCCAGAAGGTTGCAAAAGGACTTTAAAAGTCAAGACTTAGGCTTAGTTTGTGCCATAATGTCGTAACAGAGGCACAAAACTGTTCCTCAACAATCTAACAAAATGTGTCAATGCAATTCACCTTAAAGGATGCTCGCTAACCAAATTGTAAGCTTAGACTATACGTTGGTTTAGCTTTGCATTAGGGATACAACTAGCCCAAAATTATTAAATGTGCAGACTGATTTAAAGATAACTGTGTTGGTCATTGTAATAATTTAGTCAAAAGTTTGATTCTTAGAGATATGTCATGCTATAAATGAGTATATTTGTATGTGGTTAATGCACCCATTCAAAGCTTTTTTTTTGATAAATCGAATACATCGTTGAAAGAACAGCCCATTTTGTATGAGCATTTTTTGATACTTGTTCTCTTCATAAATACACATAAATTGAAGGTAACTTGTAGGTAGACAAAACCAAAGATTGGCAGAATGTAACAGCAGAGACGAGTCTTTACGACCAATCTGTGATGTATGTTATTTTACCATTTTAAAAGCTCTCAAGAGAATAGGGTATCATCAAAGCTGTTTAAGGTATGTAATATATATTGAATGCTTCTCCTAGTGTGTTTTCCTCTGCAGGGCAGTGACAGCAATACCATATTTACATTGCATACAGACTGTTCAAAATAGAAATGCTGAAGGACAGATTCTTACTGGAGTGGGACCAGTGCCCTGGATATAGCATTAGAAATAAGCTAATATTTCAAAACGCATGTAGTCTGTTGGGACAGAGACGTATCATCTTACTCACAGGAAGCTAAATGCATCCCTCCAGAGAGATGATATTATAAAACAACAACAACAACAACAACTCCTAATTGATACCTACTAATTTCAAAGCTCTAAATGTTTCCACTGCATTTATCCAAGCTAAGACAGGTCCTTTATTATCTGTTGCTCCACGCCCATAGAGATTTCCTTAAAAAGAAAAGAGGAAAGTTTTTAAGCAATCTTTGAAACTTCTCTCGTCAATTCAATGTAATCAGCAAATTCCTGTTGCCACAGAAGCTGTAGTGGTGTGTCAACTGAAGTGTCAAAAGAATCAAGAGTTCATTGACTTGTTTTAAAAATAAGGTGATGGGTGTTTCCCAGTGGACTGGTACACTTTTTTCCCCCCCTTTTATATACATCATATTGTGGTTTCTGCTACATGCCAATTTCTGAGCTTCACTTTTGTTCTCAGGAGCTGTTTGTTCACACCAGACATACCTGGAGAGTTTGCACAATATACAGCTTCTGTGCACATCAGCCAGCCCAGGTAACAAGCAGCAAAAAACCCACAGATAAATACCACAGTAGAAGCATGAAGCTACAAGCCTAGGTACATAATTTTTTTAAGTGTTCAACTGTACAGTTATATACAGGGACAGGTTTCAGTTTCAGATAAATCTGTTTCATATACAGATAAATCTGTGGATTGCCACTACCACATTTCTCTGTGGAAGTCCCCACTGGGGGCAGAAGAGTTACCCCAGTAAGGGTGTTTGGAACTGGTCCCAACAGATGGGAAAGGGTGATTTAATGGCTATAGGACAGGTCTGGGAATCAGGATTTCTGGGCTCTTGGTCCTACTCCCTGCTGACCCTCCATCCTTAATTTTGACCCTTCAAGTGAAGAGTTTTTCATGCTCAGCTGGCTGTAGTGGAAGGATGAATACCTTAAGGGGGTCTCTCATTCTTCCACCACCAATGCTCCTTAGCTCCAGCGTGGCAGGTGGAGGTACCAAAGGATTATGAAGCAAGAACAGGAAGTGCGAGGGAGGATAATGGCTGATCCAACAACCCAACAAGAATTTGAAAGCAGAAATGGATTCTCTATTGAATACTCTATAAAGAGGCATTAACCTCATGTGGCTCTTCCACACCAAATATTAAGCAATCACTGATGGGTCTCACTACTCACAGCATGGTCATCAAGACTCAAAACCACTGGATTTGTCCCACAGTTTTCCATGGGAGAAGTCCTCATGCTGTGGTTAAACATACAGGGAGCCTCCTTCTACTCAGAATCTGAGAGTCGTGTATTGAAATAACAATACAAAAATTATGACCAGATACACACCATTGATTTCGGTCAGTGTGTAAGGGTCAGTTTTCCAGCCATCTTCCTTTTTGGCAGGCTGCACATCTACGTGACCATAGAAACATACAGTGGGGTTTTGTGGATCCTTCCCCAGTTCCCCAAGAATCACAGGAGGCAGTGGGAGGTCCTGGCCATCAGGCAACTGCAGAGAAATGTTAAAAAAAAAGCAACAAAGGAAAACCAAACCTTTGAAAACTTGCAAATGTTATATTAAAAAAACCCTGGAATTCTCAGTATTGAAAATACTTCTACATACTCAGTTGGCTCTGATTTGATCAGGTCCACAAATCTGGCTTTGAAGCTACCCAGAGAAATTAAGGTTTTTCTCCCCACCTGTTTAGGTTCTGCAGGGGCTTTATGGAGCTCTTCTAACATTTTACTGTCATAAATGCCCTCGTTGCTAAACTCTTACTTCCCAGCACTGGAGAAGACAAAGCTGACTGTGTGCTGGAGTGACAAAAGCCTATGTTGTGACACTGAAATAGTCAAAAGCCACACAAACTAATTTGAGGTTTGATTTTGCCACGGACAGATTGCAGGAGGCCTGTAACTTCGAATACAGAAACAAAATAAAGTTTTGCTGGCAGGAGGCAGCAGCAGCTATTTCAGACTGTTTTCAAAACAGGTTAAGGCTCTAAAGTAATACTGTAACTTACCGCTGTGCAGAACAGATCTCCACATTGGCCAAGAGAGGCTGGGTGTCTCACAGGAGAGAGAAATAAGAAGTGAAGGAATGTGCGCACTCCCTTGCATTCACCAATAATATCAGTCTGTATCAGTCTGTTGCAACACAAAAGCGTAGCTGCTTGCCCAGCAATCGAAGGAAAAACGCATTTCGTGAAACAATATTTTGGCCCTAGGCAGAGAAAAGTATCTCTGGTCTCTGCTCCAACAACAGCTAATCCATTCCCTGCTGTTATCGACACAGACTGCTGCTATATATTTTGGCAATCATAACTGCATGCCGAGTGCATGCTAAGGTTTTAATTTTAAATGCATTCCTTACAACTATTAAATGACGTAACTTGAAATATTAAAGTATTGCTGTGCTGCAAGGTCCTTGTGTTAAGACTCTCAAAATCCTCCCCAGAAGCCTCAGAGGAAGGAAAAAGGAATCACTACTAGTGAACTTTTGAATTCCTATGTAGGATAGAAATCTAACAGTCCAGGGCAGGAAAGAACCCCCAGCTACAGTACGGTAAGTAAACTAAAGACAAAGATTTCTCAGAGATTAACTCTTGCCTGTTGCTTTTCAACAGTCATTAAGAAAATGGCTTGGAGCATTTGTCAGAAGCTCCCAAAACCAAAGATGATGTTCAAGATAGCTAGCCCTTTCTGTCTGGCAAGACTTTCCTTCTAAAAGCTACCTCCCTCATATAGAGACTTCGGTGACGAACTGATGCATTAACTATCGTGCTTCATTACTCAGAAGAATGTAAAAATGAGCCCTGGTAAAAAAACTCAAGCCTTTTACTTTTGCAAACTGCTTCCATCCAGTTAAAAGCATCAAACTGTCCCTGCTACGCAGAGAACATCTGTTTGCATTTGGATTGTCTGTGTGGTCTCCCCAAGTCTGTTCTCAGACAGTCTGAGGAGGGACTGATTTCAGCAGGTATCATGTAGCTACGGGACTATTGATAAGTTGTTATCTAGCTACCAAAAATATCAGTAAGTCATAGCATACATACGCATATACATAGCACCGAATGTAATAGGTAAACCACATGTGCAAATATGATGTTTTAAATGCAAGAATCAGACAAGCACCTGATGTGACCCCAGGTTTACTAAATTAACAGTGGCTCCCAGTGCTGCAAGTCTGTCTGCTGCCAATGCCATCATTCGTATTACTTCTTTCCTCAGATCTGGTTGAACAGAATCGCTTTCCACAGCCACCCATTCCTTAAGATCCTGCAGAGGAAGGAAAGAAGTGCGGTTAAATCACCCAGGATGCTGCAATGTTTGGCCTTTGAACACGAGAAGTGTCACACTGGAAGATGGTTTCATTTCCATCCCGTCTCAGCGATGTCATGGATGCTACATTCTTTTTCTTAACGGGTAAAGATTTGCCAGTTCTCCCATGTGGGTGCATTTTGGCTCAGTGGAGCCTCTCTCTGCACACACTTGAAGGATGCCCACAGCCACCTGGTCTATGGAGATGCGTGTAAATACCTCTTCCACCCCGAGTGTCCCCAGCACAGGCTCTCCCCTTGCAGCCTTGCTTTGTGAAGCACATGTGGCACACCTGATGCCAGACCTGGAACCCTGCTCGCTACCTTATTGGCAAACACTCATCTGGCACACAGAGCACAAGGCTCTGGGACACCAGTTCTGCGCTCCAGTCATTTCACTGCAATATAGTTCCTACCTCGATGAAATCACTTTGATGTACATCAATGTACTGGAAGATCTCCATCTCCAACACCGAAGAGGATGATGAGGACATTCCTGCTTTAAAGAGTAGTGCAAGGCTGAAATGGATGCTATCTGAAAGTTAAGGATAAAATTCAAGATGTTAGAGACATCCTGCAATTCTTTTCAGGGCTAGAAAGCATAGACAACTGCAAAGTGCTGAGCCTATTTAAGTCTTATTTAAGTCCTTCAAGCCAGGAGAAAGTATACCTGAATTATTTTATCACATAAAACCTGCAGTCGACTCATAGTCAAGTTTCTGGAGGAAAGTGAAAAAATGACCAAAGAGTAAACAGCTTTACAATTTCTGCTTTATAAGTAAACTAAGGGAAGCGTTTTCTAAAGGAACATTCATTGCATCATTTTTCAATGCACAAACATCAAATTGTATGTTCTGGGAAGACAACCCCAGGGGAAGACTTGCAAACACCAACACACACCAATGGCCCAGGGGACTCATCTTTCTTTTTCTTCATTTCCGGAAGGAGGGAAAAGAATGGATTCATTCCATATGAATACGCATGTTGCGTATTTTACATGAATAAGGGACAACAATCCTGACACCGGAGAGTACTGGACAACAAATAACTTTTGGTTGAATAAGAACAGTGTCAATACTGAAACACTTGATAAGTGCAGAAGTCATTTAGTACTTGCAAACCTCTCTGTCATCTTGTTTTTGACAAGATGAGTAAGATTTAAAAACCATAAGATTTTAAAAAGTGTTTTTCTTCCTTCCTGCAGTTCTCCCTTCCTGTTTCCTTGAAGTTCCTGCTGTAGTTTCTTGAATCGGTGTTAGTAAAGCAATACTTGGATGGCTAAATACTTGGCTGGGCTAAATTCAGAATAGCTGCTGTATTGGGCTGTGCAACGGGATGGACTCCAAGGTCAAAAACCAACACTTTGATTCTAAAAATATTCTGTACTGGTAACAAAACATGCAGTTGCAGGTCCATCCATAATTCCTTAACTTTGATGCATTGCTAAGGTGATATGCTATGGTAATATTAATAATTTCAATTATGTTTCTCTGACAGAGAAGAAAGATTGAAAACCCAAGTGTGATGAACAAGACGAGGGAAACATTGTTCATTTTCGGCTGAGATCCTGGCTGTATGAAGGATGGGCCTCATTTTCCAACCTTCCCTTGCAAGCAAGGTTGCATCCACATTGCCTGTGACACAGGTCACTCTCTGAAGTAAAGCTTTGAGAAGGCCTGTGACACTAGAGGTAATCCCCAGCGTCCAGTTCCTGACGTCTGTTGACACAGGAAACACTGGTAGCGAAAGAGACCAAATGCCAATTTTGCAGGACAGTGAAGCTGCAAAGCACTGCTATGGAGACGACTTGTTAACTGAGATAAGAAAATCCAAATTTGGGTGGGATTTTTAGGATGGAGAAATTAAATGTAGGCATATTATTTAAATGTAGGAATAGTATTTAAATGCTAATACTTGCTGAGAAAAAAAAACCTTAAGTGATGATCAAAGTACCATTTTCAGTCACATTGTTTTCTCCATAAAAAGGTAAAACCTACCTCCAAGAGGTGGATCTAATCAGCCATCCCCGTCAAATATTGCCATCACCAGTCACAGCAGCAACAATTTGGCCCAAACCAAAAGGGGTTATTACAGGAATCTTTGAAGCAAGCATGAAAAAAAATTCAGGACATTTCAGAAGAGACAAAGCAGCTTCTGGGATTTAGCAACAAAGATGTAGAGAATGAGGTTTTGGGGTTTGGTAGCTTAGGTTATAGTCATCTTTGAATAGAGCTTCTGCAGGTGAGGCTTAACAACAGGAGTTTTGCAACAAGCACCCCAAACTTAAAATCCCCAGTCTGGCTATTTCTTTTTGGACTGTGGAAGTGGCTGCAAATATTTGGCAACTGAAGCCCATTTTAGAGAGGGCGATAGCACATAGGAGTGCAATCACAGACATGGTCAGGAGGACTTCCTGGGCTGCACAGAGCAGACAAGACCGGGAGTCCCAGGCTGGGGTGGTGGTAACTGTTCCCTGATGAACAGTTTCCTGACAAAGACAAGATGCTGGCGCTTGCTGAGGTGGTGCCTGGGTAGATACAGGAGGGCATTTGAGCTGAGACACTGCAGGTCATGTCCGAAAGGAGCCCAAGATGCAGGGAGATGATCAGTATAAGGTAAAAGATAAGCACGGAGGCCATTTATGTTGTTTGCTTCTCTTTCTGTTGCTGTGTGCTTTGGGGAGACCAGGCAATGGCTCTGCTTGCGTGATGTTGCTCAGTCTCGCTTTAGCCAGCAGCAGGTCCCAGGAGAGCAAAGTTTACCTTCATGCTGGTCCTTATTACAGACATAGTGTCTTCCACTTCCGAGCTGGGTCTCACAGAGGGGAGCTGGTTCCCACATGGGCTGAGGAGAGGATGGGACCCCCGATGGGTACATTTGTGAGGGGCTCCAAAAAAAGTGAAAGGCACTGGACCCCCAGAAGAGAGTGATAGGAACAGGCATTGTACAGTGTGGTCGTTCATCCGAAAGTGGGATAAATCCTAGTCTTGCCATGGCATTGCCAACAGAGAGGTCGAGAGATCCCAGCATGTGAGGATTTTAATCAGATGTTCATCTAGAGAGACTTTAAGGCTGTTACCTTCATTTACCACAAAGCCTGCTAGATGCCTCAGTTTCACACGTATTTCACTCATTCTTTCGACTTTGCCATTTCGAAACCTCGATTTGGAAAATATTTGCAACAGAGGCCACTGAACATGCCCTCATTTAACCTTTCCACAGAAAACCAGACAGGCTTCTCCAGGTTCAGTTACTTACAAAAAAATACCTTTTGGGTATGCCACACTTGAACGAGGGCATTAGATGATAACACAGGTCAGAACATGGCTGCTAGAATAACCAAGCTCACACAATGGATAAGTATTAGTGTCTCCATCATATATGATTTTCCCTCTTTCTGTTCAAATATTCAATTTTGCTGAATTCTATACATTTTCACTCTAAAAAGAATGAGTATATATGTAGTTGGCACCTTACGGTGACTTGAAGAAACACGTATCTTTTAACATTACATGAAGGTCAGAATCACAAAAGGGCTGCTTATACAGAGGACGTGTGCTGTGGTAATGATATCTTCCTCTTTTTATCTGCATTACATGCAAATGACCTGGAAAGATGCAGACAAGAGGCATATGTCTTCAAGTCATGTTTCATTAGCTTTTAACTGTTTAAGAAAATAAAAGGAGAAAACTAAAATGCTGTGGGGAAAAAAACCCAAACACTCAAACAAGCAAAACATCCTAGGAATATTTGAAATAAATCTGTGGTATTTTCAAAACAGAGACAGAGTTCAAGAAAAGCTTATAGAATATCACAAAAATAGCTGCTTTCATAAACAAAAATAAGCAAGAGTGGCAAAGTTGGGAAAACGAACGTGAGGAGATACTTACACAGTCATCCAGAGTAGCAGAGTGCACCAAATACTAATAATTCAAACAAGAAATAAGGTAGCAACTATGTTGTGCTGTACTTGGGGGAGGGAGGACAGTAGCAGATGGAACTTCATGTTAATGCACTACTAATACACAGCTGCTAGAAAGCATTTGGATCACAACTGGGAAAGCTTGTGTGAAAAAATGGAGTCGGTTTAATAAAACAGTAGAAGGATTTCAGGCAAGGCTAAAATAGCTCAGTGTTATGAGGAGGGGAAAAATTATTTGAAAGAACGATAAAGCCTGGGGGGAAAAATATCAAACGAAGACTTCAGTGTTCAATTTCAAGTGTATTTTGTTTTATCTCATTTTAAAGAGCAGTTGCTGCTCTACAGAAAAATGTAGTATGACTGTTTTTCGAAATAATGCATGACAGTCACGCAGTTTCTCTTCCTTCGTTCCTTAGTAGTAAGAACATTGTGTCTCACTTCCTCCCATCTCGTTAAGTACTGTTGAAAGAAAACTTAGTGTTCTTAGGGGGTGATTTAACAAGAAATCCAAGTTGATTCTTTAACTAGGATGACTCTTTGATAAAATATCAACTAAACTTACAAACATTTGAGAAGCAGCTCCTGAACGCGCTTCGCTGCCCTCCTCGCTGTTCCTGAAGCACATGCCTCACGCGCTTTCCTCCCTGCGATGCAGCATTTAAGGTGTGTGCGTGCGGGGGGGGGGGGAAGAAAAAAAAAAATTTACGACAGCATTGTTACTCCACTTAGAAAAACACAATTGTGCATTCCTTTGTTCTGAAGCACTGGAAGAACATTTTGTCTAATTTGAAGAAACCAGTATGAGAGGGATCAGTAAAATCTTCTGTAAACTAGAAGGAATGCTGGCTGCAGCTGAAGTTGGGTGGCTCCTTCCCTCCACACCCCTTAAACAACACACTGAAATTCATACCTCCAGGCATGCTCCCTGACCTACATTTATGGAGCTATACTGTGTCCTCTCCTGCAAACCAGCTTCCATCCCAACACTGCCTTTTTCCTGTGGCTGGGCATTAACCAGTTTGCACCACTGCCTGCTAATTACAGCAACTTCATTTAGGACCTTCATCAGCTGTTCGTGATGTAATGGGGGTTTGCCTTGGGGGGGGGGGGGCAATGAAAATGAACATTTTGCAACCAACCCAGAGAAAAACAAAGTCAGAATTTGCCTAGTTTGCAAATAATGTAAAGAACGTTTGACATGAAAGGAGATAAAGATGTGTATGGCAGCAGGAGCTAATTTACCAAACCAACCGTGGGCTCCATTGAAAGGAAAATTCCCTCTAAGCAATCACCATCAAGGAAGATAACCGAGATAATGGGGTTATTGTTTAACTTCCTTTAACAACATTCACTGATAAGTGGCCTACCTTTGGTGGAAGCGGGCAATCAAACCTCAGTCGCCTCTCCAGCTGACTAGGTGAGGCCCTTGGAGGAAGAGGATGACTCTTCGCGTGGCAGTTCTCCAGCAAAGCCGCGACCACACGCAGTCACTGCTGTTGTAATGACCAGGAGCTGCAGAGATCCAGACGTGTGCAGGGGGATGAACGCCCGCTCACAAAGCCTGACGGCATTTGAAGATGGTTAAAGAAATGGCATTAAATCCAA